TGTTATTTCCTATTTAGTTCCAGTCGGTCGTGTTGTATACTAATCTCGAATATTTATTGCTAATAATGTTAAAAAAATGCGAAACGCCTCAATTGAAACAGTTTTCTGAATCGCAGGGAGTCTGAAGCTCTGCTTCGCCTCTCTTGTGATTCAGAAAACTGTAAGACAAGAAACAATCAAGTAAATTGTATATATTGTGGCGTTTCGCAGTTTTTTCTTTAAACTACCAGCAATAAATATTCGAGGTTAATGTCTATTCAGTTAATGTCGATTTGCTCCTCTGAGTTTGGGCAAGTATCTTGAGCAATCTATCAGTCTATGTTTGCTCTCTTGTTTGTCCTGACAAGTTCTAGTTATTTGAAGCCTTTCCTGTAGTTCTCTCCTCTTTGAAAGTAGTTTCGGCGTTTTTTTCTCAGATAGCTATTGGATGAAGATTCATATAATGAAAAAAATCCTGAGCTCTGTTTGCTCTTGGAGTTCACTAAATTTTTAATCTTTTTCTTTTACTTTTAAACTTAAAAGAAAATTGTTGACGATTCTGACAACAGGTTGATTTAGTTTTTGAGATCCTGGTCGATGTCAGGAGTATTTTTTCCGCAGGACGATAACGCCGCGAATTTTGTTCTGAAACGGCTGCATTTTACAGGCTTTTGATTTTAATATGGATTGCTGCAATTTTGGGAAGCGTTTTCAAAATTTTTTAAATTTTTGTTTCGTTTTTCTAGTCAGTTTTCTTCAAAAGCTGTTTTCCAATTGACATTTTTATAGTATGACTCTCATATATGCCTAAGTTTTCTTTTCGTTCAGATCTTTTTATCTCAGCTTGCAGAAAACAACGACACCAATTTGAAAAAACTATTTTCTTTTTTATTGAGACTGGTCGGAATACTCTGTGCTAGTTGCAGAGTAACCGGCTATCCTTGTTTACACAAGCAAAGCTTGTGTTATAGTATGAACTCTCTTTTTTCTCCAACTTGAGACGCAATCATTGTTGCGACAAAATGTGTTCATTTTGAAAGTGATCATTTTGATCAATAACCAGCTATTAAGTACAGCCAATGATAAGGATATTAACACAGGCTATTGTATTACAAAAAGCACTTTAGCTTCAAGGTACGATGGATCTGTAGCGTAGATACAGGGAATGAGACCCGCTACAAATTAAGTGGGATATAACCCGGGCAGGGTCGGATGTTTTTAATGAACTTTTTCATATACTATTTAAAATGCGTCCACTCTATAAATTGAGGCATATTAGTTGGTATTTTTTTTTCAAATTGACTGGTATTACTAATGCGTCATGATTCGCTTGCGTCCTTAGCTTTTATGTAGATTCATAATTGGCGTGCGTCACTTCAGAAATTTTGTAGATTCAAAGTTTTACTTATTCAGTTTTTCCCCAGTAGCGATATCGATCATATTTTTGCTTGCGTATGCGAAGTGCAACTTCGACTCCGTGTATAAATTGTTTTCACATCGAAGTTTATTGGACTGAAAATATTCAGTGTACATAGTTCCGATATGCAAGGCCACAAAAAGGCCAATTAAGCCTAGTCAAGTGATGCCTCAATTAACATGTACAATTTCCACTTTCTAGATTTCAAAGCTTTTATTTCAATTTGTTATCTATCGAAATATACATTCTGTCTCTAAAATATCTTTGATCAATTCGTTTTTTCTGATGTACAGATCTCGAAAGTTGAATCTGATTTAGGTTGCTGTCATTTTCAGCAAAAATGGGGAAAAAACGTTGTATTAATTCAATAGGTTTTGGATTCTTACACCTATTCTCGTAGGGCTTTTTCCAGTTAAATTGTTTGTTGGTTTGATAATCTCAATTTTTTTAGGTTTTAATTCTCAATCCAATATTGTATTTTTTAGGAATTCGATTTTTCAGTGTTTCAGTGACAGAACTGCATATATATATATATGAACTTCAATCAGCTTTTTTTTCGTAAAAGCTGAACGAAGTTCATATATATATGCAGTTCTTTCACTGAAACTATGCTTTTTTGAAGTTTACGATTCATACCTTCGTTTGCTAATAAAATTTTCACAAGATTTGATTTTACTTAATCCTAGTTTTTGGAGTAAAGTTTTGTTTGCTGTTCTGTACGCTAAAACGCCATATTGAATTATTGGCTGTCTATGACTAAAATATTCTTCTATTAATTGTGCTGACATCAGTATACCTCATAGTCTAAAGCAATCCACAAAATGTTTTCAGTTTTTAATTAGAAAGTCAATATATCTGAAACTTCAACTTGTGTCCACCTGGATGCCCAAATACTTATAAATATTAGCTCCCTTTTTAACTTGTACCTTCCATTTCAATCTCATCTTATTTTCTATTTCAGTTTAACCCTCATTGCAGTTAGAAGTTACAACTAAATTTAATTTGTATTTGGCGTTAGATCATCGAATATTCTTTTTTCTTCAGAAATTCTTCTTTTGACTTTCTTTAAGTTTTTCTGCTAAATTATGTCCAACATTTGTGTATATAATGAAAAACGCCCTAGCGTCATGTTTTGTATCTCTTTGAAATTGTTGATCAAATGAATATCTTGTTTTGGCATATTTTGCTCTATCGTTTTCATTTCTTGCTTCGAGGTACTCTTTTCGCTTTTTTAGCCGTATTTTGAATTTCATTATATATCTAGGCTTTCAGCAAACGATTGGCTCTAGTTTTCGTTGGTATAATTTCACGAATAGATTTCGTAAATTTTGATGAAAATATTGAAAAGACTCATTACAATCTATTTTGGTCAATTTGACGTTGTGTTTATGTAGTTCTTGGAGAATTTCAAAGTTCCGTTTTTCGCTATTACTCCTGTTTCATGTGTCGCTTGATCACTTAATTTACAATTCGTGCCTCGAGAATGGCGAGTAGTTGCTGTATCTAATACTTGATTTTGTTTCAGAAATTTGAGTAAACCACATCTATGCAAGTTTTTCTATCTGACCGTTTAACAAGTTGGTATTGCGTTATTTTGGTAATTTAGGTTAAAAGCATTTTGAGTCTCTTCACAGGCGTTACTGAGCTAGTTTTTCAAATGATCCAGATTGAGATCTTCTCAAAGATTGTGTGTATCATCTACTACTATTTCAATGCAAGTCAAGAAAGTTTCCATAGTGTTTAAATGTTTCGATCGGGTTTGTGGGACTGAAATATACAACCGTAAAAAACAACAGTTCTTTTTCAAGCTAATTTTTACAATTAAAAATTGGCAAAGGTCCGTAGTAAAACAGCTGATAAGAAGGCAGAAAAAGTTCCACTCCACCGTCAACGTTTTTTCTCCCGTTTTTCTGATGGTTGATAGTTTGGTAATGTGAGACGCACCGGCGGATTTGGGGGGGGGGGGGGGGGGGGGGGCTGAGGGAGGGAGGGAGGTGTGGTTGGGTGTTATGCGAGTGCTTCTTCCTGAAGGATTCGACCCCCTGCCGACCCAAAGGGTCCCCCTTTGTACTATTTTGAGATATCCAATTTTGGCTGACTGACCCTAAAACTTGTCTAACTAATTGTATACTAATTGTGAGGGGCGAGCGCGTGCCGAAAAAACGCCTTTTTGGTCAAAACTTTCCAAAAAATGCCTAAAAAGCCTTTTTCGGAGCAGAAAATTTTGTCAAAGATTTGGGAGAGCTCAGAAAATCAATTTGGTCGACCTGAAAAAAGGTTTACTAAACTTTCGACATTTTTTTTTGAAAATCCCCTCCCCCCTCCGGAAAATCTTAGATCCGCCCCTGGTGATTTTTCAAAGTCGTTCAAATCACATTTGATAGGACTTTTATATGATATATCACTCGACCCATTCCGATGATTATTTGTGGTACCTGATTTAGCGTGGAAACAAAAAACCAAAACACACCCGAATATAGAGTTTCTCCCCATTTTCATTGGTCGGAACAATATTTGTTTTCAATTACAGTCTTTGCCGCAAAGTGTTCCGAATACATCAAAAATAAGTAGAAACCACTTGGGGTCCAACGTGTTTTTGTTTTGCTTACACTTGCGAGAAGCTAGTGTATTAGTACGAACCTTTTTTTCTAATCTAACTCGCAAATAGTTCATTATTTGGTGGCAAAGTGTTCATTTTTTGGTTGCATCTGTTCTCTGCTTTATTTGTAACTAGTGTTTGTGATTACTTAGGTGTCCGCGACTCAGTTGTGTTAGCCAGACTCATAATCTCTAGGTGGCGATCGGTCGGAGATCGAGTGCGAATCGAGAATTTTTTAAAACTAATTTGAGGCTTTTTTCTCATTTTTCCCATTGAACTTTATAGAGCTGCTCTTTGTTCTCCCTGGTGTTTGCGAAGCGAAGTTTGGCCTCTGTTTAAAATTTTGTTTTCTTTTGTGACTTTTTTGTGAAGACTTCACTCTTGCAATATAATATTTTTGCATCATAAAATAACAGCAGTGCAATCAGAAAAGGAATCGGGTGTGTTACAGTATTTTTTTCTGCTGTGTTTTCCATCCCAAATCAGGTGCCCCGAATAATCGTCAATAGGGGTCGAGTGGTATATCATTTTAATGCATATGCACTCGTGAGTCGAACCGTAGCAAAAGTCGAACAGTAGCAAAAGTCGAACAGTAGCAAAAGTCGAACCGTAGGTCTAACTGTGAGTCGAACCGTAGGTCTATATTTGAGCGAATAAAACGACCTATGAGGCGTATACCACGCAAAAAAGGCGTTAAAATTTATTCAAAATAAAAAATTCCTTTGACAAAAAACTCTGACCAAAAACTGCTAATTTTGAAAAAAAATTATTTACAAAATTTTTTGTTGTTTGTTTGTTTTTGTTTGTTTTTCTTTGTCTGATCGTTGTCAGATATGCGTATTCTTCTCTTTCTATCGAATTTACTTTATTTCTAGGCTTTCAATCAGATCCTCTCAAAGCCGAAAAATGTTTATTTTGTAGTTGGAACTTTCTGTGCTACTTGCACAGCAACCGGCGATCCTTGTTTTTTTTGGGTGGGACTATATATGTGCCTTTTTAGTGAAGACTTCAATTCTTTGGTGGAATTGAGGTTGGACACTCTGTAAAGTTATCGAAGTTGAGGAAGTTGTACAATGCTGTTGTGGTGGCAACAGGATGCGAGCGCCCCAAATCATTGGGCATTGAGGGCGAGTTTGGCACAAACATTCTTTCATCTCATGACTTTATCACATGGTACAACGGGCATCCAGATTCCATGCAGATGGAACCAGATTTGGCGTGTTCGTCAAATGCCGTGATCCTGGGTCAAGGAAACGTTGCATTGGATGTGGCAAGGATTCTGTTGACTCCGCCGAGTATCCTAGAAAAAAGTGACATATCTGATCGTGCTCTTTCAGTGCTCCGCAAATCAGAAGTGCAGAACGTGTTCTGCGTCGGCAGGAGAGGGTTGGCTAATGTTTCATTCACAATCAAGGAGCTACGCGATATAACGAAGGTGAATTCTTTTATTGTCTTGCCAATAAGTCAACAGATTGTATTGTAGGAGTATTTTGACAATAAACAAGTTGCGTGGTCAATCATATTTAGCAAACAAAGAATTATGTTGTCTTAGTTGACCTAAAGTTAGATTACCCAATATAATAAGCATCATTGATTCAATGCTGGTTTAGCGTCAGTTGCCAATTCAAGTTATACTTTAAATGTCTGGCGTCGATTTTCGAAGACCAGCTGGTCAGCTCGAGCTCTCAGTGCTACTTCTGGGAGCTTCAGCTGTCGGAAAGTCCTCATTGATTCGTTCCTTTGTTGGCGAGAACTTCCGCTTCACAAATCCAGCTACTGTCGGTGTTGATATGAAGAGGAGAACAGTAGAGCTAGAAAAAAGAAACAAGATTGTGACGCTAACTTTATTGGACGCAGCTGGCCAAAATACATTCGAGTCCATTGTTATGTCTTACTTTAGAAGTGCCGATTTTTATGCTCTGATCTTCGACGTTACGTCTAAATCGTCCTTCGAAGAAGTAGATAATTGGATGAAGAGACTTAATGATTTAGAGAACATGGCGGAAAACTGTATTTTTGTAATAGGCAATAAAGTTGACCTGGAAAAAGAATGGAAAGTATCTGAGACGGAATTGACAAATTTCTGCAATGGATTCCCAGATCCGAAACCAATTCCTTTCCTAGCTTCAGCAAAAACAGGCGAGCTAGTGGAAGATGTGTTTACGGAGATGTGTGAGATCGTGTTGGATCGAATGCAGACGAAAAAGGAAAAAGACCGTCGGAGTACAATCGACACTACCCTTGATCCACCGAAAAATTCGCCGAAACCGAAGAATTCAGATGATTGCGGATGTCTCATTCTGTAGAATACACAACATTATAGAGTACCAACTGCAGTTATTTAATTTGCGAGTTATTTGACAATGATTTTCACTTTTCGTCAATATCGGATATTCAGATAGCTCCTATTAGAAAAGTAAAAAGCTAGCATATCAGTTCTTAGATTCTTTTTGCGTAGTTCAATTTTTAATTATAAAATAATGCATAGTGTTTTTTGTTCTCGAAAGCAATTTGGTTAGTTTTAAAGGGATTTTTAAAAGTCATGAACGTAGTAAATGCTATTATGTAGGTCTTGGTGATTTTTTTTGGGCAAAAGTCTTAAAATTTGTTCACCCTAAAGTTTGATTTTTCGCAGTTTGACTTCTGATTTCTTCTTAAATTCAGTTCATTTCCATTTTCAAAGGTAGGCAAACTCCACTATCGAACACTAAAACTGTAAAATTCACGAACAAATTCTTGTTTTGAAACTATTTTTAATATTCAGGTTTCCCAGCGGAATAAATAATTTACCTATTGATCCAGTTTTCTCAGTTTAGGTTAATTTTATTCAAAACTGAAATTCGAAAATTCGCGAAACTAGTCAGTATTTTTTTCCTGTTTATTTGCGTTCATGACTCATTTTCAACTATTTGTTGGCTATGTTTTTTTATTATTTGTAGATGTGGCCATTATAATGGATTTGAATCCAATTATGAAATTAACCTGGTTGGGTTCATGAAAAATATTAAATTTTGAGCTTATTTTTAGATTCATCGACATCTTAGCGTATTAAATTTTTTATCGACTTTTGCGGCTATCCTTCATGCACTAAGGACCGAATCCGCTGACATTTTGTCAGACAGTCAGAATTTGTTATTCATAAATTCGAAGGAAATAAACGATGAAATCAGTCAGTTCAGAACAGTTCAAAGGCATTGATTGGTTACCAGTGTTTGCGCGTTCGGTTCATTGCGTATAACAATAATAAATAATACCCTAGCTTTATCAAACCATCTGATTTTTGTGTCCGCTTAATTTCGAAATAGTTTTTCTGAAGTTAAATTATTTTTTGAAAAGTTGGAAGTCATTTTTTTCGAGAAAATTTTTGTGTTAGTGGTAGTTTTTCTTTGACAAATTTCGGCATTTTAAATAGCCGTTTTTGACGTTTTTTAAATCTTATGTGAAAGGTAGTCACGTTTGCACTTCAAACTATTTTCTTGCAATTTACTTTTTTCCGTTACTTTTTTTGTCTCGGGTCATTCTGCGTTAAGTTAAGTTTTAGTTTGAGTCTCTCTGTCAACTTAAATTAGAATTCTTTGAAATTAGAATTGCAACTGTGTTTTAGACAATTAAACTATTTCACTGAAACGTTGTTTTTGCCGTTAGCATCTTCTTTTTAATTAATGGTAGTAAATAATGGTGCCTTGTGTTTTGCGCTATTTGGTAGCAAATATTGAGGTCTGACTGTTGGATTCAAGAGCCGAATGAGAGTTGAACAAACTGTTGAGTTAAAGCTCGGACATGACATTGAAATGTTTATTTTCTCTTCATTTCCAAGTTGCTTTGGGTTGCAATTCACGAAGTTTTTCTCGTTGTTCTATATTTATTCAGTTTCGGAATGATTTTTGTAGATGTTTGAGACATTGCGATGTAACGCACTATGTTTCTTGATAGAATAAATTTTTGAAGCTCCATATTGGCTCCACAAATATTGGATTGATCGATTGCTACAATTGATCGATTATAATCATGTTTTAAATTGTTTATTTTAATTTCCTTGTTTACACTCTCCGATAAGTTCCTCCACCAGTAAAGCATTAGATTTATGTAGTTTTCTCTTTAAGAGTCTGTGAACGTATTGAAGTCGTGATGTTTTTCATATAATAGTGCATTTATGAATGCCGTTCGGTATGTGCAGTTTTTGAGTTCGTTTGCTAATAGGCAGAAAAAATTTGCTCTAAATGGAAAAAGCGTACAAAAGTACGTTGATCAATTTTTAGTTTCGAATGTGGAATTTATTTTTTATATTTCCCAGGAGAACATTTTCTACTTTTTTCATTTTGTGTTAATTTTACCATAATTGTTGGGACCATTTGAAAAATGCGGAGAAACTTTGTATTCGAGTGTTTTTAAGTTTTTTTTTTGCTTTCCACGCAAAAACAGGAACCACCTACAATCATCGAAATGGGTAGAGTGATAAACTAAATCGAAACGCTTTCAGTCGTGATTCGAACGAAATTCAAAGTTTTCAAAAAATTTTCTCAGTGTCGAGAAAAACTGCTTTAAAATTTAAATTTTTTATTTCAATTTAAAGCGCATAAAACGAGCGAGCAAGCTTACAACAGCTTAATTATGCCTTATTTAAGCCCTAAAAACTTAAATTAGAGCAAGTAAAGTTAGTTTTTCTTGTTCCATTTTGTTTTGACTTATTTTTCTTCAAAAATTTTCGTTTTATTTGCCTATATTACTTTGACTGTCGAATATACATAAATTATAGTTTCATGTCAAATACTGTTTTCACACCTCACAGAAAACTACACTAATTAAAAAAAACTTTTTTTCTTGTAATTTTTTAAAGGCTATGGTCGGAACATTCTGTGGTGCTTGCGCAGTAACCGGCTATCCTTGTTTGTTCTTGAATTTCAAAAAGCTTGAAGGCCATTTTTTTTCTTCGAAATTCGGAATTTAAAGTTTTTCAAAAAAAAAAGTTTTCAGTTTGTTTTTGTTCAATGACGCTGTTCCATATGTCTGTTGACTATGTTTTAGGTATTTTCAAACGAAGTGGACTTTTTACTCGAGCGTAGCGGAGTGTGATAGTACGATGCAACTATGTTCAATCATAGTGGCAAATGAAAGTTCTAATTTTCGTGACTTTTTTAGCAAGTAGGCTGCATTATCAGTATATTGATATGTGCTTTGGCGTTTGACGAGTTAAAAGTTGACGCTTTTTAATACATGAATTGAACCGGAAAAAGCTTTTTGTTTCATAAAACAGTATAAAAATTAAAATCCCATTTCAGAAGTTTTCCAGCTCGATATACATCGCTAGATTTTTTAACTGCATAATTTATACCCATTTTAGTTAAATGTATGCAAATTTAGTGTAGTTGCATGCAAAAGGGGCAGAATTTCTTACCGCAAGAGTTTGCCTTAGCCACATTGTTTGGCTTTCCTGTTTTTACAATCGACGACTGCAAGAGCAATAATTTTGCCCCGCTTAGAATAGGCATTAAGCCGTTGGTTTGTTTCCATTTTTAAAAATAAAATCGATCGAAGGCTAGAGCGATTATTGGACCTCAATATTGGCGGAAGATCAGTGATTGTCAAGCAAAGAGACCAAAATTGTTGAGGCAAACTTTCATTTGATTTTTGCTCCATCTCTACAAAATCAAACGAAAGGCACTGGAAATTTAAAAGAAAGCAATGGAATATTTTTTCGCTGCTCCTGTAGAGTTGTTAAAAAGATCCAAGATTTGACTTTTAACTAAATTGATTAACACGGATCTGATTTTCAGAAAAATAATATAACCGAGCTTGTACTCCTCGCAGTGATATTTGAATTTAGTACTTTCTCTTTTGATGAGCTTTTTCATCCGCCTCGTTTGAGCAAATTGTATTGTAGCTCATCGGAGCTATTATGCTACCAAGCAATACTCAAAAGAGAAAAAGCCAAACTAAAAGAAGTTACTGAGCAAACAGTTTCGAAAACCTGATCATATTCTTTCGGAGTATCTGAAAAATTATTCAATTCCTCTCCAAGCTTTTCGTGTGAGTAATCGCTTAAATTATGCTCGCTCAAATCGGCAAGGACAGAGAGCTACAGTACATTTCGCTATCTGAATCCGAGAAACTGACTTCCGAGAAAGTTTGAGCGACAGATGAATCTATTTGTTCCGTTTCGACATTTTCCGAATCCAATAAATATTTATCAGTTGTCTGTTTACCCACACTGTAAAATGTTTTATAGATTTTTCCTGTCGTCATTTTGATCTGCATATACTGTACCTCATTGTACAGTTTTTTGGTTGTTGATTTTTTAGGACTTAATACCAATATTTTGGGGCTTCAATTTGAGAGTAGATTACAGCTTCTGGGAGACTAAACTAGCCTAAAGTTTGTCGCGTTGTTTTCGCTACATAAAAAGTTGAGATTATTTGGACTGAACGCATCTGTTCTGTTATAGACAGTCAGCTCCTTGTCTAGTAAAATTTGTTTCTTAGTCCTGAGCCTGAGATACTTGCGGCCTCGACAACCAATTTTCATATAGTAATTAGTATTTGCATTACAAGAGTGAGTTGCTCATCTGGCAACCCTAACAAGAACTTGCTCATTCTCCATTGGCGAATGCGTTTCTTCTTCCTTATGAGCTGGTAGTTTTTCTAACAAAACGATTTTATCTTGGATTTTGGTTAAATTTCTAATTGGCTTAGGACACCTGTTACGGAGTTAAAACCACCAACTCTTCAATTTTCAAGCCTTGTTTTCCGCAAGCTCGTAAATATCGTTAAGTCACTGAATTGGTTGCAGGTTTCTGTTTACCATTAGCTTCTCGAGGTACTTGAGTCACTGAATTTTTTCAGTCTATAGCTGAGTTAACAGCACGGGAACATGTTTTCCTCGCTAAATTTTCGAACCAAACATAGTAACTGAAACGAATTTCTTCTTTGAAAAACAATAATGCAAGACCTTGCAAATGTTTATAATATAACTAACTGACAAAACTGATGGCATTCCAAGCACAAAAAACTGCAAAAAAGTAAAATTTCGTCTCAAGAAAATTTAAAAAATCTATCTAATTTTTAAAATCACCTTCCAATTTTTTTTACACCAAGCACTCACAAAAAGAAATTGGTGAAAAAAATTTGTTTGACATATAAACAACTAACAGAAAAACTACGAGCTGTTTGCAATGAGTTACTGAAGCACTTTGTGATCTCTCACATTACACGAAATTCCTCAGTCAAAAATAGGAAGCAGAGTGAATAGGGCTGCCGACATTAGTACAAAAAAAAGCACGGTACGCTGCAAATCATTTTTTCAAAAACTAGTCAACAGCTTTTTAAAACAATTATCGACAAATTAAATTCAGACTGATAATCACAAAATTTCAGTGTATACTAAAAAAGTAACCGTCTCCATCACTATGTTCTTTTAAATTTTCTGCTCTAATATTTCCACTATCTCCAAATAAATAACTCTTGAATACAAGGAAGTAACTTTTGGAACACTTGTTTCCTGGAACGCTTGCTACTGACGAGGCTTCTTGAAGTAAACAATTTCAAATTTCATACATCTATATCACACACCTTGAAGTAGTCACAGAAGTTTACAGAAGTTAAATTCGATTTATAAAAAATGAACGGTTAGATTTGGTTATTTTTGAATAAATGCCAACTGGTTTCGGGAGATTCAAAGTTGTTCTCATTGTCCTGGGTTTCCCTGTTTTCCTCTTTAATATCGCTAATATTAGCTGGGCAGGATTATGGATCTTTTCATCTTCGTTTCTATATTATTTTCATGTAACCTTGTCACTCGTATACAACGAATTTCTACCATTAGACAGTTCGTTTGTGTTTTTCGTTTGTTTTCCAACCCCACAGAAAACACTGTGTTGTTATTCTTTTTATTATGCCCTAACTGCACTCAAACGTATCCTATTTTGAGTCGTCCTAACATTCCAGTCTTACGTGGCTTACATTTTGTTTTTTAACTGTATGTGCCTGATGTCACGTGCATTGCACGTTTGTTTCCCTTACCAAACAATGTTTTTTTTTACCTGCACATTTCTACTTTTGGTATTTCTCCTGAAATGCTTATAATAGCTGTTCTCCCCCAATGGGTTTACAGCTATTAGTAAGACGAGGGTATCACTGCTATTAGTAAGACGTGGGTATCCCATCTCTGTTGCCACTGTAAATAAGACGCGGGTATCACTGCGAGTGTCCGTGCAGCTGCTAACTCGGTAGTAAACAAATTCCAATTTCAATATTTCACTTATTTCTCTATATCATCATACACCTTGAAGTAATCACAGTAGTATACAGAAAGTAGATTCGATTTTCATATTATTGACGGCTAGATTTGGTTATTTTTGAATAAATGCCAACTGGTTTCGGGAGATACAAAGTTTTTCTCGTTGTCCCGTGTTTTCCCGTTTCCTCTTGAATATCGCTAAAATTAGCAGAGCAAGATAGTGGATCTTCTCAGCTTCGTTTCTATATGCTTGTTATATTATCATGACAATTGTATACAACGATTTTCTACCACTAGATAAGTCGTTGGTCTTTGTGTCATTATCGTTAATTAATGATGTCATTTATCAGACATCTTAAATTCTCAAATAAGTTCAGGTTTTAACCTTGACTTCTTACAACACTTTCGATTCTTTACAGTAGGGCAACCGGTTGGGTTGATGTCTATCAGGTTTTTTTGACCAGTCATGACAAATTACTGCTCTGGTGCTTGCTTGCGGATGACTTTGGGGATTCAACACTCTGATATCCTTATTTGCTTCGAATTAACACATCGTCCATGAGTTACCTGCCCAGCAAAATTTACCTGAAATTGAAGTTTGATAGGTTTGGATGGCTGGAGAAACTTCTACTCTAGTAATAGCTTGGTAGCAGTTAGAACGCAGTTCCATACTTGACTATTAAACTCAGCTCCAATTTGTTTTCGGGAACGTGTTTTTTGCTTCCTTACTTTTTAATAAGTTTGCTGGCTTCTTCGATTTATTAAGTGCTTTTTTAAGCTTCTCAATTGTAGCCGAATTGCATTCGTTAAACAGGATTTTTTCGAGGAAAATCAAATAGAAACTTTTAATTAACTAACCTATCACATCAATAGAAGCTTTACAATTATGGTTTACTCACATTGCTCTCGCTGTTCAAGAAAGTACGCTCCAGGCGTTTTGCTTGAGCCGAAGATCCAAGAAAGCCGCTGGTCGGCTCAATGGGTGTTGCCTCCTCTAGCATCTTCAAGTGTGCTATCTGAGGCGAAACCTCAGCAGATTCAGATTCTTCTTCCGAACTTCTTTTAACATTGCTAGCAAATAACGAGGTTTTTCCCCTTTTTTAGAAGAGCAAATTTTCTGTAAGTTTGTTTGCATAATTCAAGAATTCAAAAACTTGCAAATGAACAACTTCAGGGTCCATCCCTGGTTCGCCATTCCCTCGACTGAAGCAATTTCCAATTTTAGTGGAACATGTTTAATAACTTTAAAAAGATGTCTCCGACCGAGAAAGTATCTACATCTTTCAGGCATAATGCTTCTAGTATAGAATTGCTGAAAATTTCAATTCGATTGCTCTCGTCCTTGGCTTTATGAATTTTCGAGCGTTTCACTTCATCAATATATAGTAGTTCAGTCGTTACATTGTTTCTGATGAATCGATAAGCTCGTTTTTCACTTAAGAAACAGGCATTTTACTCTTTATTCAACAAGTTTCCGATTCCCTGATGTCACGCCGACTTCCAGGTTTTCGGTCACTTCTATCTCTTCGGCATCTTCTTTCTCTTCGATAACGTCTTCATCACTAGATGCTGTTGTTTCGTACACCGGAATATCTAATTCGGGTAAGATTTCATTGTCTGCGTATAAAAACCGGGGTGTCGTAAAATTTTTTAAACGTTCCGCCTTTCTGCTGTTGTCTTCTTTCGCTTGCCAGCTTCTTAAGTGACAAATAGATTCTTGTCACTCCTGAAGTTCCAGTTGCTTGTCTTTATACCCCTCCAATTGGTATTTTATTTACGTCGACTTTCTTTTTTTTCGGTCCATTTTTATCGTAGCACGAATTAAGACAACTTGCACTGAGTACTCGAAACTTTCTAATATAACATCAGCTTTCATTTCAAAAGGAATTTGATTGAAAACCGATACTCTCAATTTTAAACTTGGCATTGTATCTTAAAAAACTTTTCGATGGTATTCATCATTATAAACACTTCGTTATTTACACTTCTCGCATATACTAATTAAAATTTTAATTATTGATTATAAAAAATGTCATTAGTAACACTCTTCACCTGTTCTTTTCACGTAAGAAAAACTCCTCACAACTTAACTTTAACGCTATCACGCCACATCTTAACTCTACGGTCCAATTACAGCTGCCCACCTCGAAAAATTTTAGCAGGAACGATGGGAGCTAGAGTATTCAGTATTTTTTTAGTAAAAAATAGTGGAAATTAATAAATAGTCATACATCTGCCACTAAATGGCCTAGAAATCCAGTTTTTTTCAGAGCCACGATATGGTTTGTTCTTCCGGAGTTGTAAATTTGGCTACAAAAAACATGTGATAACACGTAAATAAACATAGCAAAAGTTTATGCTGTTTTATCTATATGCTATTTTGTATAGCCCAGTCGTTTGATTCTTTTGTAAAATAGCTAGCTAGTTTGCGGAGTGCGGTCTGTATATAGAGAACCGCGTATTCATACTCGTCAGTATTTAGACAAATACTGTATGAACCAATCAGAATCGAGATAAGACATAAATAATCCAAAATAAATCATAATTATTTATTAATATTTTACTTGTCTCGATTCTGATTGGTTAAAACAGTATTTGTCTAAATACTGACGTGTCTGAATACGCGGTTGTCTAAATACTGCTACGTAACCCTAGTTTGCATTGATACATTTAACATTACATTGTAAATTCAGTTGACTGTATATCGCGGTTACGTAGCAGTATTTAGACAACCGCGTATTCAGACTCGTCAATGAGGACAAGGAAGAAATGAATTCTTAATAATTATTCATTAGTTTAATTATTCATTAATTTCATTAGTTTGCTTTCTCATCTCGATTCTGATTGGTTGATATGGTATTTGTCTGCTTACTGACGAGTATGAATACGCGGTTGTCTAAATACATACCGCACTCCGTATATCGCCAATCAGGAATATGTGTAACAATCTGAACCATTTTGCATTTAATGTATTCCACTGCGCTTAAACCCTCGGAAATTGAGCTAAATAGTGCACTCTATCTATATCTATCTATCTATACTATATTTAAATGCGAGTGACAGCTTTCTCCCATGTTTAAGCTATATCATAAATTGCAATGCTTAAGAAAATTTTTCAATTCGTTTTTCGTTAGGTCGTTAATTTTTCAATATTTTTTTTCCAGGCCAAATTAAGTCTGTGTGTCTGTATACCTGCTTTTTTAATTAATTTGATTATGTCTGTCTACCCGTCGCCTAATTTTTTATTTTTCATCTATTATCTATTATATATTTAAATGCGGGCTTCACTGTCTCGCCATGTTTAAGCGTTTTCAACGTATTATTTTCGCATGTTTAACAAAAGCATGTTTAACAAAAGAGGCCTCCATATATCAATAAGCAATTCTGTTATGTTATGAGATACGGCAATTTTCGAGATTTTTCAAAAATTTCTAGAAAATTTTATTTTTTAGAAGTTTCTGAAAATTTGGAATTCGCTACCTTGTAGTTGGGGGTCAGGGTAGTCTCAAGGGTTGCAAATCTTGCCTCCAAATATTACTTCTCAAATCGTTGTAGTTTTCGAGATATGACGTTTTTTTATGATTTTTTCAAAAATTTTCAAAAAACTTAAATTTAAATTTATTTCTTCTAAATTTGAATTTCCCAACCGTTTAGTTTGTGGCTGTCAGAGTGGTCTCAAGGTCTCAGGTGTTGCGAATCTTGCCTCCAACTGTGACTGCTCAAGTCTTTGTAGTTTTGCAGATGTGACTTTTGTTATTATTTTTTTAAAATTTCAGAAAACTTAAATTTAATTTTTTTTCTTCAAATTTTGAAGTTCATAACCCCGTGTAGTTGGGAGCCGTCAGACCACTCCCAGGGATTGCGAGAGATCTTGCCTCCAATTGTGGCTGCTCATTTTTTGGGTTGTTTTCGAAATACGCCGTTTTTTTCTGGTTTTTTTTTTCAAAAAAAGTTTCTAAAAAACCTCATTTTAAGTTTCTCAAAATTTGAAATTACCAACGCTGTAGCTGAGTACTTAAGAGCTCTCTCAGGAGTTGCAAATCTTGCGTCCAAAAGCGACTGCCCAATTAATTTTAGGTTCCGAGAGGTGCTGTATCTTAATTTTTCAAAGATTTTAAAGTTTTTCAAAGAACTTAGATATAAAAAACTTTCAAAATTTTTTCAAAATTTGACATCACCAACCCTGTAATTCGGTGCTGTCAGAGTACACTTTAAGGATGTTGATATTTTTCTCCAATTTTTACGGTTTTTTATGAGTTGTTAAAAATTCGAAGCACCGGAGGTGCGGTAGACGCTAGTTACTTTTGAGCAGTTGACACCATTTAAATTCCTAAATTATAACTTCCGAGAATGTTTATAAAATTTACCTTTTCATGACAAGAAAAAGCTCTAATTTCGACATAATTAAAATCCCTAACATATGTAAACTTTCTTTTTACAGATACAAAACGTGGATGTATCCGTTCTTGCTACTATGGGCGACGAGGAAATTGAGTCACTTGCGAGGCCTAGAAAAAGGCTAATGCAGTTGTGCAAGGAATTTCAATCCACAAAACGGTGCGACGATTTTACGAGTCTCAAAAAGGACGAAGTGAAAAACTTCGTATTAGACTTCAACAAAACTCCGTGTGAGTTTTTACTGAACGAGGAGTCGTTATCTGTTGAGTCAATTCAGTTCAAGGGGACCAATGACATGAAAGGGGAGACAGTGAATTTTCCGACAGGGCTAGTGGTCAAGTGTATTGGTTATGAGGGGGTCCCAATCGACAAGTCTGTTCCATTCGACTCCAAGAAAGGTACGAGATTGTCGGTTGTAGGATTGGGTCCCTTAAACAGAATGGATATGAATTCATGATTTTCCATGTCGCGGGTCCTTAATTAAAAAAACGAAAGTTGCTACCATTTTAAGTCAACTTTATTACTAGGATATTTTTAACTATCCCCACTTTGGTACCAAGTTTTGTATATGATTATTTGTATATAGAATGTGTTAACTGTTACTGGTAAATGAATTTAACGATCTTGCAAAAAAAATGATGGAAATGTCTCTCATACGACGAATAACTCAAGTTTATAGTTTTATTAAGAGTAATGATCTCATGCTACCAGATATAGAAAAAATGACTCAATCCCAGCTCGAAACTTTCTTCAATAAATTCAAAGATAATTATATTTTTGACAATCGTCAAACTTTTGATATGCTTTTTTAAATAAATTGCCACGTCAATTTCCAAGATGATGCTCAATATCACTTATGGGCACAGCGACCATGAGTTGAACCTCTCTTAGGTGTGCCCTCCCAGGCAGTTGGATGTTTTGTAAATGATTATTTGTATATAGAATGTGTTAACTCTTACTAGTAAATGAATTTAACGATCGTGCAAAAAAAAAGTAACGAATTGCCAAGTAATGAAACAATTCAACGGTTAAGCATATGCGAATTTTGTACCTAGCAACAAATCCCTCCTTTTGCAAAAATGGGTAAATCTGATAAAAATATCCAATTATGATTCCGCGATCTCCCAAAAATTCTTAGAGCTCCCTATTATTAGTTTTAGAGGTTTGGACGGAACTCAAATTGGGTTCATTTCCCCGTCGCAAAGGGCTTTAGAGTGATAAGTTTAATAGCGAAGCCTTTCAATTTTGTGGTGATGATTAAAATTTTGAAAGGATACGCTTTTCTCCATAGACTGACTCATGAATGTCCTAGATAATCGTAGAAACTGTCGAAGCTCTTGATCAGACAGTTTACCATGGTTTTTTTGAAAAATTATTTATTTATTGAATGGAAATCTCCCTCTTAAGCGTGTTACATATGTTACTTAAGCGTATTAAATTCCTGTTTGATAGAAACGGGTATTATGAAAATGTATGGAATCGGTTTTTTTTTGAAAACCCTTGGAATTTTTTTCTTTTTCAATTTAGTTTTTCTAAAAAACTACTCTACCGATTCTTAAAAAAGTGGTACCAATTAGAAATCCACCTCATGCCCTGTGTGCCTGCATAATAATCTAGTCTCTTTTTACCGTACCCCAATTTCTACAGCCTTCGAAAAAGTGTGCGGGGGAAGTTTTGACCCAATTTTTTTTGGCTTTTTGGCTCTCCCAAATCAACGAAAAGAACGAGTTGTGGAAAGCTCCGCTGCATAAATGATTACGCCTACGTTTTTTACACAAGAAGTTATGAACCTCGGAAAAATCAAATTTTCGATTTTTTAAAATCGTTATTTGAAATTTCTTGATTTTCTCGAAGGTTATTCTGCCAAATCGAATTCAAAAAATTCGTTCCTAGTTTTTTATTTTAAGAACGAACTAAGGTTTTGAGTGAAGCCCAGTTTTTGAAATAACCATTGTGCTTCCACAGCTGTACAAAAAATTCAAAAATTACCAAACAGCTGGCCTCTAGTGTCCTATAATCCTATAAATTAAATGAGTCTTAATGCGCTATGGACGCAATGTTTTAATTTTACTATTGAGCTCAACGCGTAAGAAACCACTCTCTAGCGAGTATTTTCTAGCATATTTTTCGATCCAAAATTTGGATAACTAGCAACTTAAGGTCTTTATTCAGGTCAAGGCCAAATGTCTAGACAGCTTGTCTTGAAGTTTTGACAAACATTTTCAATTGGATATTGAATGACTAACGCCAAAGTGTGAATTTCCCGGCAATGTAGTGGGGAGCTGTTAAAATACTTTCAGGGCTACAAATCTTGCCTCCAAATATGTCTACTCAAATCCTTTTAGTTTCCGAGATATGACGTTTTTTTTGTGCCTTATGGAAAAATTTTTAAAGTATTAATTTTAAAAGAAAACTCCTCAAAGTTTGAAGTCAGCAACACTATGGCAGGGTACTGTCGGCGTACTTTCAAGAAATTTTAGATTTAAGTTTTGTAACAAAATGTGAAATTAGCAACCCTATAGTTGGGCACTGTCATAGTTCTCTCAGGAGTTGCAAATCCCGCCCCCAAGTATATCTGCTCAAATCCTTACAACTTCCGAGGTGTGACCTTTATTCTATGGTTTTTATGAGAAGTTTCCACAAAACCTGGGTTACAAAACTTCGCAAAATTTGAAATTCCCAACGCTTTAAATTGTTGGTTTTAGCTTTTTCCTAAATTGTTACTGTTATTCTTAACGCTATAAAATCTTGCCTCCAAATATAACTGCTCAAATTCCTTTACCATTCGAGATATGACGTTTTTTAAGTTTTTTTTTGGTAAAAGTTCAATAAATTAAGATTTAAGAGTTCGAAATTGGCAATCATATGTTGGGGTGGCGTCAGGGGTGTTCATATCATGCCTAAAAAAATTTCGGCTAAATTTTCTTTAGCTCACTAGATATGGAGTTTTTGATGATGTTTTTAAAAAATTCAAAAACTTTAAAACCATAAATTTGAAATTAGCAGTTCTAAAAGGGGTGCTCTCAGGGCATTATCGGGTTTTGCAAATCTTGGCTCCAAATATGTCTGCTCATGTTTATTTTAGTTTTCGAGGTATGACATTATTTGTCGGTTTTAGAAAAGTTTTTAAAAATTTAGATTTAAAAACTTTTTTAAAAAAAAGTGATTTTTTTTTTAAATTTTAAAAATTTAAAATAATAAAGGTACTGTCGGAATACTTTCAAGAATTTCAAATCTTGCCTCCATTTTGTCTGCTCAAATTTTTGTAGCTTCCGAGACATGACTTTTTTATATATTTTTTGAAATTTGTTCAACAATAAAAAGTAAAAAAAAAAACGCAAAACAAATTTACATTGGCAATTCTCTCAGGGTTCTTTCAGGGTTTGCAAATCTTGCCTTCAAATTTTACTGCTAAATGGTTTTTAGCTGGCAAGGTATGACGTTTTTTTAAATGATTCGAAATCAGCAAATCATCGAATAAGCAAATCGCTTCAATGGCTTGATAAGATAAACTAACTTTTGGCAATTCTTTTTGGTACAAAAGTTTAAGTTTTATAGCCTTTTTACAATAAGTGTTCAGGTAGATGTATCACAGTCTGGTCCCTTAAACTTAGATGGGTATCTGAAGAAATTTTAAGGCCTTAAAATTGTTGAAAACATTGTTCACGTTTATTTTGAAGTTTTCACAAAGTTTGCGGGACCGATTTTTCAAACTTGCTTTTTACCGAGAACCAACTATCATACTTATACCTCAGTTCAAGCTAAAAACTCGTTTGCTTTCTGCGAGCAGATGGATTAATGACGTGCTTGCTAGTGATAATGAAGCATTTGACTGTTTATCCAGGGATAGTTTTTTTGGGAGGACCCTTCAATTTGAGCGTGTTGTTGGCTATCCCAGTGAGCGGATAAAATGTGCTTCCCTCAAGTGATGAGAGAGCATGGACCTGTAGTTTAATTGTTGTTAGGTGTGTATGAGAACGATAAGGGCAAAGTGGACACCGGTCTCTACTGTTCCGGATGGGCAAAGACGGGGCCAGTGGGGGTGATTGCAGCCACACTCAACAGCTCACAGGTAAACACCAGTCTCAGTTGGGTGGGCGCTGGTAGACCCGCACTCAGTGTAACCATGTGGAAGTAGCGTGGCGAGGGGCATCAAATCGGTCGACTTAAAAAAAAGGTCGACAAAATTGTCAAATTTTTTTTGGAAACCCCCCTCCTAGAAAAATTTCTGCGCACTGTTCAGTGCATTGAATTTCGCTTGAATCTGATAATTTATGAACGCCTCAAATCTGGTTGCCGAGGAGTCGTTAGAAAAATTTTGGTGGTCGTACAGTCAATAATGGATGTACAACCACTTTCCCCCATCAATTCTTCGTGCCATTTTTTTCAAAGGGCTACCTTTGTACTATTTTCCGACATTTTTTTTGATTGACCGACTCTGAAACTTTTCTAAACGCGCATCGGCAACCAGAACTGAGATGAAAATTGTAAGGCGGAAAAATAACATGAAGAGACTCGATCTACAAATCAAGAAAGAGACAAAGAGTCGGTAAAAATTTTTAAAAAAAGCGTCGACAATGTTTCAAATTTTTTGTCGGAAAACCGCCCATCGCCTCGAAAAATTCCTGTGCACGCTACTGGCTCTCAGGCAGACATTATGAGAGACAATCCCTCTTAAGTTGTTATTTTGGTTTTCTTTTTTAAATGAAAAACGTATTATCAATTAGAGCAACCTAAATGGCCTAAAAGTGTTATCGCATAGTTTGATACTACATTGGGAAATTTTTCAATGGACTTGGTATATTCTGGCGTGGGTAATTTTGAAAAATGGGACTACAAGATAGATCATGGAATAAAAGTAGTTATGACACGTTCTGAATTCCTTTTGACGAGGTAGTTTTTTCTCTTGACATGGTTTCTTCTGGACTAAATTGGTCATTAAACAGCGAAATATTCAAAAGGTTAAACGAGAACATGCAAGAATTATTTTAGAATTGGAGGTGTATCTTGTATAAACAAAACGGCACCATCTTTTTTCAATAGTGCGTCCACATAAGTTTGGACGCACTAAATCCACATAAAAAATTTCAACCACTTAAGTTTCATCCACATAAGTTAGGCGACAGGCTAATCTTAACGAAGCCAAGTCAAAGATAAAAACTAGAAACATAAAGATATAATGATGTTCTATTAACTGAACATAACTGTTTACTGTTGTGTGGTCTAGTTTTTAAAAAATGAGATCTAGTTTTTTCTTTGTGTTGACAGGAGACGGCAGACTGCATCTTGCGGGACCTGGACTACCTTCCCAGTGTAGTGGAGCCAGGAGGTCTGAAGGGGTTCCTGCAGAAGAAGAACATGGCGTTTGTGTCAGGCAGGAGATGGCTGCAGTTGTACGAACGGGAAATAGAACTGGGCAAAATGGAGGGCAAACCAAGGAAGAAGTTCGAATCATACTTTGATATTATGAATGCATTGAATGGATTCATTTAATTCTAAGTAAATTTATTGATTTCTTAAATGATGATTAAATATTAATCAGTCCTGAGCAATTGTTGATGTTCTTTCCGATCCCTGAAAAAAATATATTTTAAACTTAATATTTAAATTATATATAATTAATTAACACCTGAAGTTGGATAGCAATTACGAGTTCAATGGATTGTTTATCAGATCTCAAAGATGAGATATGAAAACGAGTGCCTTGATTATTTTTTATATGCAAATTGAAGGTCAGAACTTATTGTTATCGTACGCCAAGAGAACCTAATTATATAACGGTACCTAAAATTGATATTTATAGATTGGTAAAATGTTGCTAAGAACTCTTAAGAATCTGATGCGACCCGGTCGCCAATGTATGTCCACATCATCAGCCCAAATTGCCCTCTCGCCCTACAAATATCACAAACTAGAACCTGAAATCCCCGAAACAGGAACCCTGACAGCCGATGAAGCGAGAGACTTGTATTACAAAATGGCAGTGATAAGACGCATGGAAACTACGGCAAGTAATATGTACAAAGAAAAGGTAATCAGAGGGTTCTGTCACTTGTATTCTGGGCAAGAAGCTATTTGTGTTGGTCTGAAAGCAGCTATGGAGCCACAAGACAGTGTCATCACGGCTTACAGAGCCCATGGCTGGACATATGCCATGGGCGTCGAAGTAGAAAAAGTGCTCTCGGAACTAACAGGACGAAAAAATGGATGTGCAGGCGGAAAAGGTGGTTCTATGCATACATACGCGCCCAATTTTTACGGTGGAAACGGAATCGTAGGAGCTCAAGTTCCTCTTGGAGGTGGAATAGCATTTGCTCACAAATACAGAGAAGATAACGGTGTGTGTATAACATTGTACGGAGACGGAGCTGCGAACCAAGGTCAAGTTTTCGAGACATATAATATAGCTGCTTTGTGGAAACTTCCTTGTATTTTCATCTGTGAGAATAACCAGTACGGAATGGGAACTTCGGTCGAAAGAGCCAGCGCGTCTACTGATTATTATACTAGGGGGGACTACATTCCGGGCATTTATGTAGATGGTATGGATGTGTTATCGGTGAGAGAAGCGGGAAAATGGGCTCTTGAATACTGCAGGTCTGGTAAGGGACCACTGGTGATGGAAATGAAAACATATAGGTTTGCTTTTTATTTTAATGTAAATCACTGTTTCAATTAAGTCGCCTGTCGAGATTATTATCTAGCCATAGAGATACATGCTACGATTTTGGACTTTGTTTTTTTTTGCAGTATCTTTTAATCATATATGAGCTATCTGAAATCTGAAGTTCATGCTATCGGAGTAGATCGGATAATATCATTATTTCACAATCAAAGTAGACTTTTTCTAGGTATTTTGGTCACTCGATGAGCGACCCAGGCACGAGTTACAGAACCAGAGACGAAGTTCAAGAGGTCCGGAAAAGTCGAGATCCAATCCTGCTTCTCAAGTCCAAAATAATCGACAACGGACTCCTCACTGAAGAAGAAATTACCAAGATGGACAAAGATGCCAGAAAAGTAGTGGACAAAGCACAAGAGGTGGCCAGGACTGCACCCGAACCGGACTTGGAGGAGTGCTACACGCACGTGCTCACGTCACCTTACGAAGTGAGAGGGGCTGACCAGTCGATTCTAGTTTCGCAACCTGCGTCTGGACACTAAACTCACATGCCTGTAGTTAATGATAAATTGTTGACAGTATGATATTTGGGTGAACGAATCTAACCAAAATTTATTAGCCGAAATTCTTTCATTTTGAAGTCGGAAATCAATGTTTCTTTTATTTAAAAACATTATCAAAAGCCAATCAGCGCGTCTCTGACTGATTGAGATGTTCACGGTCAACGATATTGCCAATAATAGGTCATTAATTTTTGCAGATAACATGACTAGCTTTTACTATTGTTATTATTATTGATGATCAAATTGTGTAAATAGCCCGACACCTAATAGAGTGGTTCGACTTTGGGGCCATTCGGCGATGCTGAGCATCGCAAGTCTAACATTGAATTTATTGTCTAAATTTAATTTTTCTGTCGAGTACTTAGGGTGATGTGGATTGTTAAAGCTACGGATATGGCTCTCAATCCAGAAAAACAGCGTTGCACATCTAGCTAGAGTAGATCAGTAGCTTTCGGAAGTGGGTTTCATTTTTTAGGTTAACCCGCGGACTACAATTGATATCTATAAACCTTTTTTCTCTTGGGTTAGTTTTTGGGGAAAGTGTCAATCATTGGACTGGCGTGTCAATCATTGGAATTTTAGTGAGCGTTAGTGTCATAGTACGTACGACTATTCTTTCTTCAAATCTAAGTCGCAAATATTGGTGCCACTTTTGGCGGCACCTTAACGGGTTTTTGATAGCATGTGCTTTGACATTCGAATAGCAATAAGTTACACTGTTGATGCATTTTTATTTCATTAAATGAATCGAAAAAAGCTATTTTTTTTTCAAAAAATAATAATATAAACTCGATTTCTAACTCAATTTATCTCCCAATTTTTTGAAATGCTTAATTATACTTGATGTAGCTTTATGCTGCTCAGTTTATTACACTCAAAGCTAGTGTGGATGCCTTCAATTTGTTATATTCCAAATTATCAATTATTAGATTGTGTCTATTTGTATTTGGTGCCACCACTTTTGCTGAATTGCGCTTTCAATTTATTAGGATATGTAGTTATTTTACTTGTGACTTTTTTGCCGATTGTTAAGCGTTCATGACCGACAGGACAGGGCGTGAGGCTCCAATTCTCGAGGTCGCAGTTTCGAATGCAATACGTAGCAAAGTTAAGTAACGGGTTTTTGATAGCATGTGCTTTCACATTCGAATAGTTAAAAGTTAACACAATTGATGCATTTTTAATTCATCAAATGAACCGAATGAAGTGATTTGTTTCAAGCAACATAACAGTAATAACAACTCGGCAACTCAATTTCAGACATTTTCAAACTCATTATATCTCGCTATTTTTTGAAATGCATAATTTTATATAACGGGGCTTTCTGCTTTGCGATTTGTTACATGCAAAAGTAAGGTAGATGCCTTCAGTTTGTTATAATCCAAATTATTACTAGCAAAATTTAGACCCAATTTCGCGAGTAATAATTTGGATTATAACAAACTGTTTGTGTTTGGCGCCACTTGCAAAATCGCGTTGGCAATTTATTGGCATATGTAGCTGCTTTATTCGTGACTATAATGTTTGTCGGTTGTTACGCTTGCGTGGCTGAGTGGATAGTGTGTGAGACTCAAAATCTGTTGATTGCAGTAGGTCGCAGCCAGATCGAATCCTAGACCTAGCTGAGTTTTTGCTAATTCGAGGCTTATTTATACTTAATGCACTTTCTAGAACTGCTTTTTGGCCGTGTTCTCGCAAGTGTTTGCGAAGCACAGCTTTTCCTCTGTTAAATTATGCGGTGGAAAATGGAATAATTTTAAAATATGTCTCTCGAATTGGTTCGATTTTGGTGAAAGATGATGCAGGCAAAAAATGCGAAGAGTTTGTCGGCATTGTAAAAAGTGAAATCAGTTTTGCGAAAAGCATAAGCAAAGTTTCATCCTTAAAACGGTAAAGTATCGGACTGATTGATTCAAAATTATGCATTAACTAATCTTTGAAAAAACTGCATCAAAATGGCCGATAATTTTTTTTTGGTTTGCATGGCTGCAAAAAAATTGACATTTGTTTTATAAAGTAGTCCACCTTTTTATTTTTTTTGTGATTTTCTTTAAAAAGAATTGGCCGCTGTTCAGATTTAACTTTCTCGGTAGTTAAATATATGGATTAATTTCATACCACTGTTAAGTCAGCCATCCGTTTTTTGATTTTTTGTTCAAGTGTCTCAAAATGACTACAACTCTTGCAACGGAGTACCTGACCTTTTTTTCGTAAACCTATTGTCCACAAGTTTTCACACGTAAAAGTTAAACGTTTCAATTTGCTTTCTAATAGACTCGAAGCTAAGAGTTTATCATGTGTATCTGGCTGAGATATAACACACCTGCTTGAAACGAGAATGTTTTTTTTTTAATTCAGCTGGGACTTGTTTTTAAGCAAACTAGAACTCTTTGGCATATAATTTTTCGGACTACCGTGCCCTCTGTTTATTTTTGACCGCTTGGAATTGCGTAGCACGGATTTTTTTTTTGAAATTTCAGCTTTGTGTACACAAGCAAAGCTTGTGCTATAGTATGAACTCACTTTTTCCCAAGCTAAGCCACAAATATTGTTGCGACAAAATCGTTCATTTTGATCAGTAACCAGCTATTAAGTACAGCTAATGCTAAGGATATTAACACAGACTGTTATATGACAAATAGCACTTTAGCTTCAAGGTATCACGGATTTGTAGCGTAGAAGTAGGGAAGGAGACCATCAACAAAATAAGAGGGCGCGCACCTGGGCAGGGTCGGATGTTTCTAATGAATTTTTTTCGTATGCAAACTAAAATGCGTCCACTCTTTAAATTGAAGCATATTAATTGGTAAGTTTTTTTTTCAATTTGACTGGTACTGCTAATGCGTCATAATTTTCTTGCGCCACTTAACACTTTTGTAGACTCATAATTGGCGTGCATCACTTCAGAAATTTTGTAAAATCAAAGTTTTTATCATTTATTTTCCCAGTAGAGTTATCGGTTATGTTTTTGCTAGTGTATGCGAAGTGAAACTTCGCCTATGTACTTAATTTTTTGAATGCTATTATTCAAACTTATTATTGGTAGAGATAATTGAGTGACGCTTTTGCAAAATTTCAGTTTAATTTCTGAAATTACAAAAAAAAATTAAATAAGTTTTGAGAACTTTACTCGTGGAACTTTAGAACGTGGTTTATTTTAATCGGTGTTTTTGCGCATGCGATTATTAAGATCGCGATTAACAGGCGTTTTCAACTCGGAGCTTGAACTTCTTCTTGTAAATAACTTTCCTGAGAACAATTTTTTATATTTTGATATATTTATATATTTTTTATATTTTATATACCTTTTTATGTTTTGGTATTTTGAACCAACAGATACACATGTATGCATTTAAATTACCCGTTCTGTTAAATATTTTATTTTCATGAAAATTTCAAAATTACTTCGGTGTGGTAATATTTGCAGATCTTCGTTTTTATTTTTTTGCCTGCTCGATTAGACGTTTATCGATTAATACCTATTGGGAGTAGTGTCATCATATTGCTTGGTTAGATGAGCTAAAAACTTTTGCTAAGCGTATGAAGGTTTTAGAGGGTAGTTTCAAATTTACCAAAAGTTTTCAGTGTTTGAGTAAAAAAAAAACAATTTTTAGCTCAACAAGTGTCTGCTATGTCGGCGTTGTTACCGCTTCGATGCAAACTTTTTTTTTCGCGTTTTTGAAAGAAATTCAATTAATAAATTTGATTTCGCAGAATCATGCTTTTTTAAACCGCTTTTGCCTGTGCTTTGGAAGTCCAGCTTTACATTAACATTATATTATTCGAACGAAATCGAATATTTTCAGAAGTTTCTCTCCAATTGGTACAATTTAAATGAAAAATGATGCTGGCAAAGTTTGCACAGGGTTTATTGAAGTTATTACATTGAAATCGGTTTGGCAATAGGTTAAGCCAAAACTTCATCCTGAAAACTGGAGTTAATTGAATTGGTTGGAAAGTCTGCATAAACTAAATAGCGGAATGCATCAAAATGACCGAAAAAAATTTATTTGAGCTAATATGGCTGCAAAAAAAGTGTCAATTGTTTTTTTAACATTTGATTGCCAAAGTAGACTCTTTTTCTCTTCTTTATTTGAAACTGTTTCATTAAACTAGAGCTTTGTTTGGCTATATTTTCTCGTTGCACAAATGTAAGGGCTAGTTTTATACTTTCTCACAAATTGATGAAAGAGTTTTCGCGCAATTTGTAACCAATAGGATCAACTATACTTTTTTTGAGCAATTCTCATGTTTAAGAAGTGTCAAAAAATGATTAGATATTTACTCTTGCGATGAGCAAAGGTGTTGCAGTGGTATACTTGACTTTTTAAAATCTCCTAAAAAACTATGTTCGCATGATTGCGCACGTAAAAGTTGCATGTGTTCTACCTTGCTTTAAAATAGGTTTAAATTTAGTCAGCTATTCAGCGCATTTTGCGTAAAGATATTCAACCTGCTTGCTTGAGACAAGTAAGGTTAGTGGTTCGAATCCGGCCGAGAATTCTTTATTTTGCAAACTAAAAATTTTCCGACTTTTTGAAATACCGTCTGTCTCAGTTGGTTGTACTAATTCAGTTACAAATTTCTTCGCGAGTTCTTAGTTTTTGCTCTCGAAAAAAAATGGAATGAAAAAAATCAATTTGATTTTTTATAAAATTTTCTGCTCCGTTGTTTGATTTGCGCGGAATGATTATGCACGCAATTTTTATGCTCATAAGTATCAAACGTTATCGATTCAGATCTTTCTATGAATTCAGATATTTTTTTGTGAGCATTTTGCCCTGAAAACATCTTCTTTTGTGAAAAAAATTCATTTGAAAACCGATCTGAATCATTTTTAAGAGTCGAAGAACGTAAGCGAGAAATTTTTTTCAGGAAAAGTTTTGAAATTTGTTCCGGTGAAAATTTACTTTTGCGCGGTTTGACTTTAAATTTGTTCTTAAATTCATTTCATCTTCTTTGTTAAAATGAAGGCAATCTCTTTTATTGAACAGTAGAACTGTGCAGGTCTTGAAAAATATGATTGAATTCTAGTTTCAAAAGTGGAACTTAATTTTTAGATTTTCCAGTGAAAAGAAAATTTTACTTTTTGATCTAGTTTTCTCGCATCGGGTTACTTTTATCAACAACGAGCCATTCAGGGCATTAATTGGGGCATTAATCAGGGGTAAGGGGTATTAATTTTTTTAATTGAGAATTTTATCAAACGAATCAGAATTTTTTTCTGTTTACTTGCGTTCATTGACTCTTTTCCAACTGTCTGTTGTTTTTTTTTCTCAAATTTACAGTTTCAAAATATCTGCTTCCAAAACACCATTTCTGTTGAATAATTGGATTTTTATGTT